AATAGGCTCTATTTTATGGTAATTTTTGCCCCCTCTTCCTTCTTCCATAGAGTGGGAAACAAGCCTGATGAAATGTTACACTGATAGCAATATTTGTAACTATGTTTATTTAAGATTGTAAACTTCCTGAAGAAAACGTTTCTTTGCTTCCAATCCCTGTTTTGTTAGTTTTGAACCTAAGCTATAAGCGTTTTTCTTGAAATAATTCTGTGTCAGGAGGATGCTACTGGATATGAGGTAAGACAGTATTCTTTTCCAACAAGGAAACAACTTGTGGGTTCGTTTGTTTTCTAGAACTTCTATTAAGCTGAGCGGTGCTCAATTAAGTGCTTAAGAATTCAAATGGAAAAATGAACGTACCACATACTACGTGCATGCGTGTGCATGCAGTATTTTAAGAAAGTAGCTTGAACAATTCTGCTTAATGAAACCTCAAAGATGCAAAAAACAAAAGCATTGCTTTTACCGTACAGCTTTCACATTTGACTGGTAGGCTTACTGTGATAATCAACTAGTTTTTTATAAAGTACAGTAGGTAACATGGGGTTTGTGACTAAGGACAGGCATATCAAAGAAAGCTGTGTTGTACCTGAATAGGACAGAAATAAAAAACTTGCACTAAAAATGTGTAGTTTTTGTTTTAAGTAGTGCTTACATTAGGAAAGAATTTACACATCCAGTAAAATTCAGTGGTCTGTAAGATCATGGAAATATCTTCCCTCGCGTTTTCTACATAGTTGTCAGAGTTGGCTTTTGAGTATTCCAGTGCTTCTGCCAGTTTTCATAGTTTTACCTACAAGCAGCAGAGCAGCACATACTTCTTGTTATGTTTTTGTTTTGTCTCGTTTTTAGGAGTTTGCTAAAAAACAGCCATGAAAAATTAAGAAATTTTACTCAGTTTTCATTCTTGCATGCAGGGTTCTTAAAGGTAACACAGACTCTGAAGGTATTTGCTGACCTAAGGCTGATGCTTACTTGTCATCTTGTATTTAGTTTGTGTTTGGAAGGATGTCCTCCCAAAGAATCTTAACATAATGAATATTAGAATCTACAGACATTAGTGAAATTGATCTCTGAAGTAATCTTTCTTGCTGTCAGCACATGGGCTTTCTAAGCCATGATTTTAATGAAAATGAAGAAGTTAATGCTTTTGCCTGTCTGTTATGGGGAAGAATTTGGGAACAAAGTACTTGTCACAAACAGATGAGAAAAATGTTCAGGCCTCCTCTGGCCTTTATTTTTACATTTTAAATTTTGGTATTGCATAACAAAATAATATCTTCTGACTGTTAGAATTTTGAAATTCTGCCCTTATTAATGAGATGTCCGTAGTTAACAGGCATTCTTTTCATTGTCCTGCTGAGATTCAGCAGTAAAGGAAGTAAATGAAAATGTGGGAATCAAACACTAATCCAAAATGAACAAGCACGTTAAATTTCTACAGTACATTTTGCTAGGCTGATCTAAAGAACTTTCCAAGGTGATAAGTAGCTTCCTTATGAAGGAGGAGGGATGTGTGAATGAGAAAACTGTTTTATAATTGGGTATACTGAGGCATGCCTCCTTTAGTGGTATTGCCAGTAAGCGTTGGAGCCCTAACAAAACAAACAGTAGTCAGAGCTCTTGCTTCTTGCTATAGACTGCTAATTATGATAGATATTAAACTCCTTGGCACATGATGACTTGCACACAGTGATATGCTCTACATGAAACCTGGACATATGTGTAAGTTATATTTTTGACGAATGTATAGTAACGAGTCATTGAGTAAGAGATTGCTTAGAGGAAATGTTATTAGTAGCTGCATCAGACTGATAGGAAAGGAATCAAGAAGTTGCCAGCAGTCCTGAAAGCTTTTAGTTTGTGTATAGCTGCAGGCAAAAAGCAGGTAAATTGAATGTTGGATTATTTTGCTATAGTTAAGCTTCATGTCAGAGCATGTTGTACAGTATGTATGTTCAAGTCACTCTGTGCCAGAGAGGTAATCTAAGACAGGGATTTAGTGAACCTATTTCCTATCAGTTCTTGGTAGCCTTCAGTACCGAAGATATCTCTCATTAGAAAAGAGGAAAGTTGGTGCGTTCTTTTTGTATTTTTTTTTTTAATAAGTCAATATCAGTCTGACCAGAATTGCATTGCACCATAAAACACTTGCCGTGTTCCATTCCAGACCTGGTTGTATTTCACTGATGACAGAAAAATTCCCTAATATTAATTTGAAAATGCTTTGAGATGTTTCACTTAGTTTGCTATATACTGAGATGTAATATTATCCACCTAGAGAATATCATACAATATAAATTAAATATTTGGAAATTAGTAAGGATTGGAACTGAGATTTCTCTAACTGAATTAACAACTGTAGACTTCTGCTTTTTTTTCTACAAGAGTTGAGCAGCTAAGTCTTGTAACAAGAGAGCTAATTGTCAAACAATGTCAGGCTCTTCTCTTACATTTCTCTCTTATTTATTTACTTATTTGGAGGATGTATCTTTCTGTGGTAACTGCCATTATATTTCCTATGTGTAGAAAAGAAATATATTGCTGACAGAATTCAAGTAGTGGCTTTAGATATATAAGATGTATACTTCCATACATTTAGCTTCAGAGAAAAACTTTATTTAATTTTATTTTGCATACATCATGTAGAGTTTGATTGAAAAATACTAATTTTGGTTGTAATACTATGTAATATTTTGGTGTATAAATATCTTATTTGTCATATTATTTCACTATACAATTGAATTTCTTATGGATTGCTTTGAAACTAAAGCTATTTCTACATCAGGGAATTTGAAGAGAATCATACAACTAGCACATGTCACAAAAGTGTTCTCCTCTTTACAGACATCTTCCTAAATTTCTATTTTCAAAACAATTGCTGCATTTCCTTCTCAAATTTTCCAGTTATGAAATAAATGAGGTAGCTTTTACAATGTGTCCTACACTTTTTTGATCAGATTTATATGTTCACTTGATAGCTTCCAAATAATTGCTGAAAGACATATGGTCAGTTATTGGAAAAAAATACTTTATGTGGTTAGCTCTGTAAGAACATGGACAATTTCTGTGGGTTGAGTTTGCATACGATGAACATGTGACATTAGATATCTGCAAAGTAGATTAATATAATAGCCATAGAAATAGACTGCAAAATATACATATTATTATGCCTGTTTATGCTATGCTTGCAAGCTGTCTGAAGTCTTGGAGGTACTTGTTTTTCTAATTCCACTGAAAACTTATAAAATATTCAGAATTCAACAGTGACTTCATTTTCATACTGAGGTGTTAGTTTGTTGAATGCAGTCTTTAATACTAACTTTCTGACTTGGCAAAGCTACTTTAATTTCAGTGTTCACAGAAATAAGTGGAGGTTTGTCGTGGAATATTAAAATACAAAATTTAATGTCTTTTTGTCTGAAAGCGTTGGCATATAGTATGTGCTATTTGCCACCTCTATTAAGCAGCGTTTTCACTAAAGAATTTAAACACGGACCCTACCATCATACTAACAAGGTGTTTGTTATTTTATCCTTTAGCTGTAAAAGTACTTGAAAATTTATAAACTTTTAATTAAGGAAACAGTGCTAAACATAAATAGAAATGAGCAAGGTAAGATAAGGCTGCACAGCAATATGCATTAAAGGAAGAATACATTTCTGGTGTTAAGTGGTTAGCACTTCATCCTAATCCTGTGTCATGATTGTAGGAATGTAGTTGAAATCTCCGAATTTGAAGTGGACTTCGTGCAGCAAATCTAAGCAGCGCGAGGACAATTAAGCAAGTTGATTTTGTACTGCAAAATAATAGTCAAATGCTTTGATTTTAGACTTCTCATAACTTACCTAATTTTCTAAACAATGGCTACTAAATGAAAATCAATTGGGGACCACTGGTAAATTAAATTAAAATTAATTGAATTAGGAACCATATTGTTGCTCCTGAGAAGTGCTCTATAAAACTGTAGAGTGTGATCCTATGCAACTGAAACCAATGGTAGCTTTTCTGTTGATTTAAATAGGTGTGGGGTTTGGCTTAGAGCCACTTGACTTATACTAAGTGGGACTTTCTTATGTGTTGAAATGTTTTGTTTCATCAGTTTTGGTGTTAAACTAGGGTGCAAATAACAGAAATTCTCTGAGAGTAGATTGAACTTGACATATTTATATATTTGTGTCTTGATGCTGTGTCTTTGTTTTTTCTTCAGATAGGAGCTCTCGCATATACAGTTATTTTTGGTTTTGTCATTTTCACTTCTTAGCTGAAAGGCGGATTGAAAAGTTTAGAATTTACATCCTCCTTATGCAATATATTTCCAGAGCTTTATTTATGGAGTTGTGAAATAGGTTTCATGGATTTGAAACAGTCACAGTAGTCAAAACGTGAATCTAAGTTGTCCCGCTTTGTCCAGTGTGTGTTGTTTGATTAAGAGAAAAAGGTATTTAGAATTTTGTTTTGGGGTTTTTTTGGCTAAAAAAAACCCCACTGTAGCAAATAAGTGATTTTCTTTCTGATTTAAAAATAAATATGAAACAAAAAGAACTTGCTTTTGCGAGTTGTGCATGTAATCAAATTTACTGTTATGGCCAAGAACTGAAATAGCTGTTTCTTTGTCTGAGCAGGGTTCTGAAAACTGATATTAAAAGCTTAGTTTTCTTTTTCTGGCAAAGTTTCTCATGGAAGGGTCTATGATATTTTAGTGTGTAGAAATGCACACTGGTCACAACAATTTAAATGACTGAAAGGATTTGTGTGCTTGATTTATATTTTGTTTTGTTGTCAATTGTTTTGATTTTTTTTTTCCTCAGTGGAAGTCTGCTAGACTTCATCCTGACTGACCTCAGCTTAAATGCTTACTTTATTATATATCTGTAAGGCAGAAAGATCTGAGATCGTCCCAGACTATAGAACAGGAAATCTAATTTATCAACTCATCATTGTAATGTATGTGTTCTTAAAACCTTTTGGCTGAGTAACTGAAAATATACTTGAAGAAAATGCTCGATGTGCTAAATATTTTTTTTTCTTGCAGACAAAATCCAGAAACTACCTTTGAAGTGTATGCTGAAGTAACCTATTCAGGAACCAGTTGCACTGGAAAAGGTACAATTTTGCACCAGAATTCTGCATATTTCTTGACTGAATTATTCTTCAGAACCCTGTATTGTGAGACACTGAAGTATATTCAATATTATGCTGTTCTAGCTTTTAAAGATATCTTAATCATTGGATCGGCAAACTGAGTGTTTTAAATTGGGACTAATAATGAGAAAATCCTTCCTCTGTCTCTGTATAGGATTGTGGGCAATTTTCCGTCGTCTTTGACTGTTTTGCCCTATTTTGTCTTTTAAAATAGAAATAACACTTACTTCATTAAGTGTTTTATTAAATTGGAAGTGTAAATGCATTTTTAGATTTGTATTTGCTGCTGCATATAAAGCATGATTAGATTTAAACCAAAAATACTCCAAACTTTTTTCTGTAGAATTTATTTTTATTCCCTCTTTCTCACACATCCACAGAAATACTCTGCATCTTTTCCGAAAACTCTCTTTTTCTAGATAACATCATTTGATCATAAGGTATGAAAGTAGCTTATGATCTGGTTACAAATCACTTCTACGAAACTGTTATCAAGTGGCACTTATACAAATATTTTTCCACAATAGTATTTCTGACAAATATTCCCATGTTTATGTTAGAAAAGTCCCACAATTGCTGAAATCAACATGTAAGTATATTTGTGATTTTGGTTGTGCTTTTTTCCTAAACCTGATGAAGTTGATCTGAATAGGCAGCAAAAGCAAAGGCTGAAATTTCTAAACCCTAGAATTTAGATCAAAGTATTGTTTTGTGAGGTCAGTCTCTAGAATGCTATAAAAAGGAAGGATGTCAAAACTAAGTAATCATGATTAGTCACCATTATTGAAATAATATCCCTTTGATTCTTTATGAAATGATCATATGTGTATTTTATATATGGTATAATGAACCAGTAGATAGGATTTTGGAATCTTATTGATTGGAAAGCTGCTTATATCCTTCTATACTTGTATTTCTGTTTGTTATCATCGGCAAAAGCCAAATAGCTGTAACTCTTCTTTACTACCAAAGCATCCATAGGAATTGTAAATTAAATGCAGTTTTGGCTTGTCTTACTGCTATATACCATCATGACCATTTGATGTAATTGCAGGAGCCCTTTTAATAACTAGTCTTTGTTTCTTCTCATCTGACCTGGATTCTAGTGCCAGAAAATCTGAACAAATTTAACCATAAACATTACATTGTACAGTACTAGTGTCTGGGTATAATCTTCTCTTTGAAGTTTGTTTGCATCCCCCTAGAGGGATTAATTCCCTGCTGTGGGAAGGTGGGTTAAAAAGCACTGAAACTACTTTACAGGTTTTTAATTGGAAAATTTAGTATACATTTTGTTCTATAAACCAACTAATTCTGTGGGAGTTTCGCTTTAGTTTTGTTTTTAGGTTTGTTGTATGTGTTTGTAGGTGCAAAATCTTCAGAAATAGTTGTTTCTAGTGAGTGGAAAAAATATAAATTGTTTTAATAACTCTTTTTACAGTTCATATATTCTGAAGTTATTAATTCTGTCTAAATAATCTCTACAACTTTTTTCAACCTTTTCCAACCTTTTTTTTTTTTCCTTTTAATGATTAAGAAGAGTCTTTTATTCTCAGAACTCTTAGGTCCGTGTATCCCCAAGTATTTTGTCCTTCTGTTCTAAACTAAGTTACTGTTTGGTTCTCAACAGCGTCATAGCTGTATTTTAACAGCTATGCTGTGTATGCAGACAAAGTAGCGTTCTGGAAATACAGACTTAGAGACCTCCATGTAGTCTTTCCTCCCATCTTGGCTAGCTGTTCTATGCCAAAAGACCTAGGATATCAATGTTTTACTACTGTCAGAGAAATGCACATGAAATGGCGAGGAACAGTTACTGTTAAGAAAATCAAAATGTATAAAAAGCATGTAAGGAGCAACTTGCCAGGGATGTTTAAGTAACTATTTCTTCCTGTGTCATGGATTCTGAAATTAGCTAAGACAGTCATCTTGGAAGTTCTGCATCATAGTGTAATAGTGCTATTGATCATTTATAATGTTCAATAAAGTTATTAAGTTATAAAAAATTTAACTCTTACATGAATTAGCTAATATGGACTTGAGGAAAATGAATTGCTCCAAAGCTATAAAAACTCTAGTGTGGTAGATTGGCTTGTGGGATGGTAAAACATGCCTCTGTTTTGTTAGTAGCACAAAAATTTGTGTAGCAAAGGACGTTTTCCATGTAACTGTTAAATATAAACTGCAATTAAAGGCTTTGATATGTTTCATAGCTTGCTTACAAAGAACATCTTGTTGAAATAGGAGATGCTGACTCCTGTTATCAAGATTAACTACTGACTGACAATTATACACTGAATTAGCTTCATTACTCCTGTAATTGTTAACAAATTTACAGTGAATGTTTATTTGGTTAATAGTCTTCCAAATGGATCAAAGCAGTGTTATGCATAGTCTATTGTATGGAGAGCTCCCTCTTAGCTACTAAGGCAGTTGACTGCAGAAAGAAGATACCTGTTCTGAGCTCCAAGACAGACATAGGTTGACTGAAGTTCAACAGAGGTCCAGCAAGATGGTCAGGGGCCTGGAGCATTTGTACCATGAGGAGAAGCTTAGGGAGCTGGACTTGTTGAGCCTGGCAAAGAGAAGGCTTTGGTGGGACCTAACAGCAGCCTCCCATATCCATGAGGAGTTCATCATGATGACAGAGGCAGGCTCTTTAGTAGCGCTTGGCAGGAGGCTGAGAGGCAACAGCATAAATTGAAACGAGAGAGGATCCAACTGGGTATCAGGAGACATTTTCTCACCATGAGGACGGTCAAGTATTGGACAAGGTCATCCAGAGAAGAAAAGTTGTGCAGCCTCCATCTTTGGAGACTGTCAAGGGCCAACTGAATCACAGTCTGAACGACCTGGTCTGACCTCGTGGCTGACCCTGCTTGGAGCAGGAAGTTGAACTAGAGACGTCCTAAGGTCCCTCCCAACCTGATTTTTCAGATGATCCGAGGATTTTGTTTTTAGAAATGTAAGCTCCAGGAATATCCAGAAGATATTTTGTACTCTTATTAAAGGATGAAGAGAAAATTTCATCAAAACCATGGAAGTTGAAAAAGCAAGCATTGTGGTTTGGCGGAGTTGTGCCTGGATTGGAATAAAGCAGTGAAATGTGGCAAGCTGAGAAAGAGCGATCATCAGATCAGCTCTCTGTCTTGATAATTTTTATTTATTTGTGGAAATAATGATTATCTCTTCTCACTTTTGGTGATTTGTGTGTTTCTGGCATATGAAATCTCTGGCGTGTTCTGCGGTTCCAGCTTTCAGTTGTATCCGAAAGCTGCGTTTGTCCTTTTCTTTGTATTCATAGAACTTATTTGAGGACTTGTAGATTTTTCTTACTAGGTCACTTTTTGTAAATATAATATCTGTGTTTTGAGAACTATGAAGCAAAATAGGTGCAACTGTAGTTAGCAACGTTAGGATGAATGTATGTTATTAAGAAGGTATTTCCACAGACAGTTAGCAAGCCAGTCTTCTATATGGGCCTTATGAAAGTGATTTCCCTGATAATTTCCCTTTTCTATTTGAATCTAAGTTAGTTTTTCTAAAAGCATCTAACTTCTTAAAATTGCATGCAAATACGAAACTGCTTTTATCTTAACTTTCATTCCACTCTTAATTTTTTCTTAATCTGAGCTGTCTGGAATTTGGAAGCTCTTCACTTAATATTTCAATGATGTGTTTGATGAGGCCAAGTTCTACTTTTTAGTGTCATCAGATAGCAGTGTTCTCTTGTTCTTACCATGATTTAATAAAATGTTGATGCCTTCTCATCAAATGTCTTGGGCAGCAAAATAAAACAGAAAGAACAGAGTCAGCATCTTTACAGTGATTTTACAATTTTCCTCACTAGGTAACTTCCATGTGTATTGTGTGTGTCAAGTTTTAAGTGTGTCAAGCATATGAACTTTGCATGTGACTGATGCTTTTCCTCTGCCCTCATGCACTGTTTTTCAGGAAGTGGGGATAAAAGAGGAAAACGTAGTCAGGTTTTATTTTAATAATGGCATATTAATATAGAGAAAGATACTAACTAATGCTTATATTTAATACTGTTAATACTTTGATCCTTTCTGATAACAGGTAAGTACTAGGTAATGACTGTGACTTGGAGTAGAAGGTGTAATTCCAAGGCTACCATAGAAGCCAGGCTGAATAGTCTAATATATGCATTTTGTACAGCTGTGCGATTGGGATGGAATAAACTCCTAATACTGTACAGATAGACACAACAGTCAACTATTCATTCTCCGTTCACCTTGAGTGGTAAAAAGCCAAAGTTGTCTACCATACTTGGGAGAAGATGATGTAAGATAAAACCATTCAGAACAATATTGGCATTGTTAGAACTTCTAAAAATTTGATTCCTAATTCAAACTCTGATTGACATATAAGGTTTTAATATTCTGTAGCTTATATGTGGGGTTTGTGCATCTTTGCCTTTCTGCATTTTAGTGCTGTGTAGTTCTGACAGTAGGAGAATTTCTCTCTCTTTCACATAGATCTGAGAAGGATATCTGTTCTTCTAAATCCCGGTTTATTGCTTCTAAAAAAACCACTTTTTTTTTTCAGTTTTTTGGGTTGTCACGCTTATTTTAGTGTTTTCACAGATGTGACTTAACCTTGCTTGAGGAAATTAAAAAAAAAAAAAAACCTGGAAAATCTTAGGTATAGGGAATAGCAAAACAGCTTATTGCCCAGCAGAAACCAGTAAGATACTTCGGACATAATTTAATTGCATTAGTTTTGCCTTTTGTCTGTGGTGCCTAAGTAATTAAGTATGGTTTGTGAGAAATGAGTAGATGTATGGTTTAGCTGAAACTCAGAATATTGTAATTATTATAACATTTGTGAACATTTCTTGCAAGGTTTAAGATCTACCATTAATTCTGTCAGGAAACTACTTTCTTTAGGTTATGCTTATAGTTTATGTAAGTCACTGTAGTTTAAGGAGAATGTTTACA